AAACCCCTAATCGTTTTCCAGAAGGTGCTCCTTTTTATTGGGCTTTGTTAAACGCAGCTCTCAGGACCCCCAACCAAAAAGGAAATTTTGGAAGCCTTAAACGAGGTGCACGAAGGGTTAGAACAAATTAGGGAGGAGCGCTCTCAGACTTCAGAGCCCCCTGAACCTGGTCCAGAAAAAGGTGCTAGAGAATGTCCTCTTTCACTTGAGCCATCCGAGCCTCCAGATTCTGAAGGACCCCCCGCAGTGCTATATCCCAGTTTTGAGGCTTTTCAACAAAAACTTGAGCGTCCGCCGCCTTCTGAGCCGCCCCCCACTCAGAGGGAGGCAAACCTGGCTCAGCTGCGCACTATTAATCAGGAACTCAGTGAGGAACTTCAGCTGAGGCAACAGATTTCATGCCTCTCGAGCAGTCTTGCGTCTCTTCGCGCCTCAGAGGCCAGGCCTACCAATAAGCCCAATGGTAAAGACCCCACAACATCTGATGGGTCTCAAGGCATAGCATCTCCTTTACAAGAGGCTCTCAAACGCACCGCAGCACAAGGGGAGGAAATCTTTAGACTATTCCCAGTCGTTCAGGTAGAGGTACCCCAAGGGCCGATTAGAGAACATTGCCCTCTTGATATCATGCCTTATTTGTTATAAATTTCCTTCTTTTGGATGATGCGGGTAACACTTGAGCAACCTGCCAGTGGGGATCGTGTCAATCCCGAAAAGCACAGGTGCTTTGGAAAGATGTCCTTACAGGACAATGGAAAGGGCCTGACCCCCTACTCCATTGGGGGAGAGGTTTTGCTTGCATCTTTCCTCAGGACGCTGATCAACCGCGGTGGATCCCGGAGCGTTTTATCAAACAGATTAACGCAAGCTGTGAAAAGGACCAAAGACAATCCTCCGGTGTTACTCTGTGGGATGTTGTTACAGACTCTGTTAATCCCTTAAAGATAAAGATTGTGAAGGCTCCTCCTAAGAGCTAATTCTTCCTGCTTTTCCATCTTATGTGCTTTTTCATACTTTGCCTATCATAGTAAATGATTATTTTTTACATCCAGAAATAGAAGGTTAATAGTAAATGAGACAGAAAAATATTAGGAAAGCTATAAGTGAGAGTTATGCTTTTGCATCTTGTTAAAAACAGGTAAAGAAAGATATACAAGACCAGAAGCCCTAAGTATATAGAGAAGGTGTGTGGAAATCATTTACAGTCAAGAAGAGCTTTCATTCCTTTAACCCTAATTCTACAAGAGATCTCTGTTAATTTTGATCTGCAAAATTTTTGACTAGTCATTATAAAAAGATTTTATAATTCAATTGGCCAAAACCATCTGAGTGCACTCATTAAAACTGTCTTATATGTTTGTCTGTCTTAAGTGTTATATGTTTGTCCTAAATGTTCAAAGATGTTTGTATGTCCTTGATCAAAATGACGTCAAATATAAATAGATTGTTGATTTCTACAACCTGGCTTTATAGGATCAAATAAAAAACTTAAATATAAGTAAATATAAATCTTTAAGTTTGGATATGCTCCTGTTGGTAAATAAAGAAGCAGCTGCTCAGAAAATTTATTCTGATCTTTGTTCACTAATGGGAGCCGCCAAAATAATTTTTTATAGCCTTATAAAAAGATATATCTTGTTAAATATGTTGTTGGGAATATTTTGTTGGTTATCAAAGGTCTGAATTGTAGAAATGTTATTGTAATATGTTTCTGATGGTTATTTTCTGTTAAAAAAGGGGGGGGGAAGATCCTGTTGATACAAAGCCACATTATAGGATATAAGAATTCATATAATTATAATAATTATTGCTATTTTTCTGGTATACAAAATGTATTCATATTGTTTGACCATGCAGGTTTTCCAGCATATTGTTTATGACAATAACCCTTTGGTCCAGGTATTCTCCCTTCTCTTCTGCTCCACCTACTTATGGTTACAAATATGTTTATAAACGCACCACTATCCCTGAGCAGCTTCAAGCTGGGTTTCCACTGAGGAGACCGGATTGGGATCCCAACACTGAAGCAGCAGAGAAAACTCCAGGATGTGTCTCAGTGCACAAGCGGAAATTTCATTCCAAAAAGCAAAAAGTTTTCCTTCTTTATCCAGAATGAGGATTTAATGGGACTGGTGATTTAATGACACATCTCGAAAGTTTTGGACTGGTCATTTCAAAATTCCACTAACTTGAGCTTATTTGCAGGACTTTGGTCAACCGATTCATGTTTTCCTCAAACCAACATTTGGAAACCCGCTGCATTGGGAGAAATACGCTTATGGTCAGATGTCAAAGTTATGGAGGGCATCGTAAAGGAGCACGACATGAGCGCAGCCATATTGACCTGTGATTCACCCGAGCAGCGTGGACGTGCCGTCACCCATAGCAACGGGCTAGTTCAGCTGGTGGTCTGATCTATTGCCTAGCAGATGTAACCCATAATGGTTGTTATCGTTTCCCTCTGGAATGTGTGGGCGGTACTCTCGCTCCCGTGCAGCCCTCGCTCCCATGCAGCTGGAGAGTATAAAAGGAAGAGGTTCTGTAATAAAGCAAGCAAGGAACTTGAGAAGAAAAGTGCCTCCCGTCTCTCTGTCCTCGTCCTTTCAGGTTTAGGACCTGCTGGCAGGATCCTGACGTCGAGGCTCGCGACAGAAGTTACTAGCCTTAGTTTCAATATTGTTGGCATAGGGGCCTCTAATATAATGCCTTGTGTTAATGTACATAGAGGTTGTTTATGAAACTGATAATATTAATTGTAAATTGACCAATTGTATATTCTTAGAAATAGTGATTGCCTTTCATTTTGTGATGAGTTTGAGATAACCTCTCTTTGTAATGATGCCTGTAAAAGTTAATGAGTCCTGGTATGAGCAACAAGGATTACAAATATTGATAGAGGTAGAAAAAGCTACATGGCAAGCCTTCACAACCCATGGTATAACCCCTGCAGAGGCTGGTAGTCAAAGACGGGTAAGAGAATTGTGGAGAAATATCCAACCTAAGACAGAGCATGAGTATTAAACTGCTCATGGCTTGATGACGGGTAAGGGATTTCTCTGGACATTTCTCACCTAAGACAGGCACAGCCTTTCTGCTGAACAGGGAAAGTCCCTGCTCTAAATATAATAAAAAGGGGGATATGTGGGAAGCCAGCC